CAGGTCGACCATAGATATCGGGTGTGCGTCGGCAGGGGATCGAACCCCGGACCATGTGCATGGTCGGCGAGAGTCCTAACCACTGTGCCACCGACGACGCACTTGTGAAAGGGTCAACTCCATTCAGAGTAGCGAGAAAGTCTTAACACACCGCATACTAAAAACAACATATAATTAAATTAATCCCAGCACTACTCCTTTTGGAGTCAGTCAGCCAAAGCTACTACAGTCGAGTGGCGAAACAAACAAACTCAGAAGTGTGCCGAAGACCAGAAACCTTGACCTCGGAACGAAGAGACAAGCACAAAGAAATCGAATTGGTTTATACTAGCTCGTAAAAACTATATTGGATCAGGTTAAAGTAGAATGTTTCAATATTTAGAACTGCAGCGACAAAATTTAGCCCGGCAATAGCTCGACATGGCAGTCTAAGTAGCATTTTAATGTCTATGCTTTAGTATATTTGCCTGATATCCTTTGGGATTTGTGGATTGCACTTATTTGAGTTTTGTTAAAATATTTTCACTTTCGTAAACGTTCTCAAAGGGAACTGGTACCGTTAATCGTAGTATTAAATTCTGTCTAGTGCATGAGTCTAACTTGTGTAGTTTATTCACCAATGTCTTCTGAACTGTTGTGTGGACTAGAAATACTTAATTGAGGGTCAGGACTAAAAGTAGGCTCGCCTATTTCTTTCCTACATGATGATAAGGTATAAACTTTCCATTCTTTCAGCTCAGGGAATGTAGAAAATTATTCTGCGTACTAAGTCACTTTCCTATTCTCTCGTCTTTGCACATATATGTACAATGTACGCTGGTTATACCATCTTAATAATAACAGTATCTAAAGCACTGAGTGGATTACAGAATTCTATGTGGATGGGTAAAAGACACTGGAGTTTTCTGCAACTGTCCAGTTGTGACTGGTATGAATCAGCCCTTTTTGTTACCTGATCGATCCATTGTTGAAAGAAGAAAAATACTAGATTAATTTGTGTCGCCGCCTTTTTGTTGTAATTGATTCCCAAATTCAAGCACCTAAAACATTGTGTCATTTCCTCCGAATCGAGCTGAAGCGCTCATCTGAAGTTTCTGTTATGGGTTGTCCACCGTAGTTTATTATCGTTGGATAGTAGAAAAATGGCAGTTCTTTTTCATATGGAAAGACGAGGTCATCAAAAAGTTCTGACAGGGATTTTGCTAACCACCGGTTCTTGTCTAGATACTATCACGTTAGCATTAAAGAGCGTGTGGGCTTTCCTGGTGAACTTATGCAAGACAGTTTTCCAATTACTCAGTGAAAAGTAGATGATTGTCCATAGCCTTCACCGATTGTTGAAGGACTTGATTTTCGGCACATCTATCCGATTTCCTTTGCGTACGAGGTTGCTTTACTCCAAGTCTTCAGCAGTCGAACAAAAGGTACTGTCGAGATGTTTGGTCTTGAAAGTATAAGGTACTTATCAGGGTACTCCTCGAACTCACGCAGCCATGCACGAGCTTATGGAATGTATTCGTTTGTAGTAATAACCACTGGTGGTATCTTCTCCGAATATATCCACTTTTTGATTCATGTCTGGCCTGCACCGACTTCCAGCTTAAACATAGGTATTTGCATCAGTACAGACACAGGAGGCTGGTGTGGGTGGCGTTTTCCAACTTATATCATCTGTGGTGAAGACGTCATACCTAGCTGTCGATCACCTTCCTCTATGAGCGATGTTAGTCGGCATAGGATTAGGTTGGAAAGGGGTTAGGTGTAGTCGAACCAAAACCTGGGAGCAGTCCATGAAGTCTTTGACTGTGGATGGTTTGAGCTAGCCACGTAGGGAAGTACAAGCTGCCTACTTGGTTGAGATGCTCAGGATGCTAAGAACCCATGTCTGGAGACTATTTGTGGTATGGCACACGGTCGTTCTCAGTAACACAGATGCATTCACTCTTTGTGATTGGCCATATTGACTAAGCCGTGCTACTATTCCAGTTTTACTCAAATTTCCGCGAATTGTAGTCCCTCGGACCTCTTTATTTTCTCTCTTTTGTCTAACTTTGTGTGCTACAACACGGAGTGCGTCAACTTGAACTGCTGAACCGCTGTGCTCACTCAGTCCCATGTTAAAACAACTCAGTTTGTTGATTAAGAAACCTACTTCTGAAGAGTGTACACCACATTGAAGCTCCGGCTGTGCAAACTGCGCTAGCGATTTCAGTTCACGAGATAGTTGTTCACGTATCTGGTTCTATGAAGCGTCATTCATTATATTTTAAAACCTACATTGTCTTAGATTGTTTTGTTGAAGCAGTTATAAAAGCCTCCTTAACCAATACGTTAAGACCCTAATCACCAATGTTTGCCGCATCTAAAACACACACGGGATTCAATCGCCTTTACGATTTTCACAGCTCTTAAATCAGATTTCTTGTTAACATATCGTTAGTGAAGAGTATCGAATAACTTCTGGGTGTAGTGTGTGATTCCGCACTTAAAGTTATGTCAGTTTTACTTTGTAAAGTAGAGTAGGATGACTTGTATCGCCAGAGTTGTTGAGTTGATTACAACTGTTGAAAATGTCAGATAGATAATGACCTGGAACTACTACCACGTACGTTAGCAAAGTTAGTCAAACTTCCTCGTAATCAACGGTAGTTATAAGCCTTCAATTGTCTGTCTGATGTAATTGCTTTAATCGAGGAGGGTGAAATATAAAGTGAATGAGAAAAAGTTTCCGAACCGAAGACAAGAAAGACATCAGTTAACGAAGACGCTGGCAGCTAGTCCGAGCTGTGCACTTTGACCACAAGCTTAAGGGATTTAACAGGCTCACTAATTATCTCCGTCCGTCTTAATTTATTTCAATTTACCGCTAACAGCTTGTATCCTAAAACACCTTGTCACTACTTTCAACCTGATGTGCGAATGTGAGGTTTAGTCACTGCGCGCTACCACAACATTCTGTTGATAATAAATACCATATTCATAACTTCCCTTACTTGTAAAGACCACGAGAAACCTCCCCGCTCAAAGTCACACTACAGATATAGAGATCGTAGTGATACATATGAGCTTTCACGGAAACATCGGGATCGCCACTACTATCATGATTACTACGGAAGAGATGTGGATAGAGACCGGCATCAACACGGTAGAGATAGAGAAGAGGGAGATCGAGATGGCCTAAGAGGACATGAACTGAACCACGGCGAAGAAATGTGGAAGCGTCGTTCACGTTCTAGGAGTCTTGCAATTAAGAGGGAGACAGAGGCTGTGGTGTATGTGGAAGGAATCAATTTTCGTTGTATAAGCACTTTAGTTTTCAGAAACACCAGCAGAACCTGGGATTGAGGAAGAGGCAGAGATTATGCGAACAATGGGGTTTTGCAGATGCAATACAACTACACGTTTCCCTTTAGTTGTATTGAATCTGCAATCATCTACTTTTCAGTGAGTAATTGGAGAACTGTCCAGTTTTACAAACCTTTTATCAGCTTGGGACGATCGGACATCATGGTGGGATATGAATGTTCCAGTCCATGTGTTTATCAGATTTTGTTTAGGCATTTGACGCAGTTCCCCATATCTGCTTGCAGTCGCTTCTGTTATGTTTGGAGGACTACCTAGCTTGGAAGATAATCTGCACTAAAGCCAATCCAGTCTGATCATCCTGGGACAGCTCGTCATCAAGCGTGTCGCAGGGCTCCATCCTAATGCCACTTAAGGTTTTGATTTCTATCAGTGACCTACCATGCCGTCTAATCTACGCGACTATTCTTTACACTGCTGAGCTAATTATTTGGAGAGGAAGAAAGTGATCGGAGGACTCAGGTGAACTGCAGGCAGACCCACAGCTTCTGGTGCTCTGGCGATTCGGCCTTTTTCCTTTTTTCAAAGTGTAACTTCAGAAGTCTTGAGATTATGCAGATTAATAGATTCAGTCGTTGGGTTGAAGTATCCTTCTTATGGTTTTACCGAATCTTGTTGGTTTGGTGTGATCAGGTGGAGCCCTGTATGAGACTGTGTCGAGACAGAAATGTATCGTGCTGTTTTTGCTATCCGGATATTCGAATTGTGGGACTGTGCCAGGGCGACAAAGTGGGAAAATGTACCGGAACCACGGATACAAGGGTTATTTCGAAATTCAGATGGCTTTGGTACCCGTTTGTCACAACATCAGTGCATCCATCGCTTGCGAAATTTGCAATCAAATGCTGAATCAATTTGAGAACCGACAACACTACAGACCTGGCTGGTATTCGTTCCCTTTTCTATTAAGCATTTCCGAGGTCTGATGACATCTTGAGCATTATGTTTTTGTTTTGCTGTCACACACTGGCTTCCAACGGAAATAGGTGCAGTATCATGTCCACTTAGTTTTGACTGTGCCGTTTCAGTGCTAGATTGTGGCAATGTAGACATTGTATCAGAACAGGGGAGATGTACACGGGTCTCTAGAATCGGTATGCGAGATGGGGTTGATGTCCCTGGGTTATTGCCTCCTCTGGCTGAAGCCCTAGACACTTCAAAATATGGTGTCTTAGTGCTTTTTTCAAGACTACTTTCAACCGCCATATTAACAATTACTATAACTTATGCTTACATATGAATAAGAGGTGGCAACAGTGCCTGCTCAATAGAACAAGAACAAAAAGATCGATGAGGTACAAAATAGGGAGAATGAAAGTTTCTCGACTTTACCTAGTACATTTTGGTTACTCAGTTTCACAGCAATCACGTGGCAGACCAACAAGTCCTGTTCATCTGAACGAATGAGGAAGATGCTGCAACAGATATACCACCTGAAGTTTTTGAAGTAGTTCGAAACAGCTGAACTTACCCCACAGAGTTTTGATATGGAAGTAATGATGGAATTCAATTCACCAGCTAGGAAGATCAGGTTTCTCACGCAGATAATTCACAAAATAGGTATTTTCCGGTTAGAGAGAAAATTGAACGGTGGTACGTTCCTGTGAATTTCCTTTGTTAGTTAATTTACCTGTGAAATGTGTAAGTAATCATACTTGCTGATCGTCTTTTTAAAGTTGATTTCCAGAATTGATGGTTGGTGAGTGAACTGTGATTGCACATAATCATAATTCACCTTTTTTTTTCACACAGTTGTCTAATGACCCATTTTTTATCTAAGTGTTGTAATTTAAGCGTAATACGTTTTATCCTAATTTCGATTTCTCATACTTCCTTTTCGTTATATATTTGAACATGACGTGAATAAAATACACACCTGTCGTTTTCCATGATTAATTCAATGTAATTTATATGCTTAATAATCTTATATCTCGCAGTGTATTCCAAGTAGTATAAATATATATTCTTTTATGTGGAGCATTGAGTTGATGAGTTCTACTGGAATTCGGCGAATTCAATAAATCCTGCTTTATTAACCTTTGTTGCTTGTTATACATTCGTATCAGGAAATAAATATTTCCAATTATTGGTAATTACTCACGACAATTTACTCTCCTTCGGTGGGAAGTTCATTGTCCATTTTCACTTAGAAATGCAATTATTTTCGCTATAACAACTTCTCTCATGAAAGATACGTCTAGTCAATTGGTAGCCATTGATTCGGGATTATGTTAAATTCGAAAAGAATCAATAATAACCAGATCAAGACGTACCGACAATCCACTGAATCAGTAACTGTCTGACCGACTTGTGCAGAGAGGTGTACATTATTAAGCTAACGATTACGAAACAATCAGACTGTATAATCCGGCTCATTGAGTGATGGTCTAGTTCACTGAGTGAGTTATGTCCATTCAAAACTTGACTTCATAATACTAGCGATGTCATATTTCTACATTCTCTCTCCTTATAAAATTCCACGACTTTTAATTTTCTCTACGTATTGCTATGCCGCTTGATTTCTTTTTTACCACTTATAGTATCAAGCAGATTACAAAAGTGTGAAGTGAATAATTTTGGTTTCCAAAACAAAACCTGTGGTCACTTCTTACTTAGAACTGAGTGATTCTCAAATTGAGAATTTGATTCTTTGTGTTGTCAGTTTGCCCAAATGACCAGACAGAATTCGAATGGTTCGAAATGAAACGACTCTCTGATCGGAATCAATTTGCGTAAACCGATGATGAGCTCCACCCCTAAAACAGCTGTCCACTCATGAAATCACGTCAATCTACCTGACAAGCACTACTGGTCGACTTGAATGGTATTCAACTATTCGTATCAATCGTAAGAGAATATATACTGCTTTGTTTTCGAATTGCCTTTTCGAGTGTTTGAATAGACATGTGGTGTAGAGCAGCTCGGACTTGTCGGACTAACCTTGTCAATATATCCTTTTTATTATGATTCCTTTACGTTCCCAGTGGAACATAGGGGGCTTCGAGCTGCAGGCTTGAAGTTTCGGTATTAGTGGTGTTTATTTTTACGGGATGGGGTTGCTATCTATCCTCATGCCCAACCTTCCCTCTTTGGCTGTCCTACTATCGGCTTAGTCAGGTAAAGGAGTGCATCGGTGGCCAGGGATCGAACTCCGGACCACATGAGGCGTGGTTGGCGAGCATTGTGTCGCTGTACCACCGACGCCTATATCCTTTTTACAGGATATGTATATATTTTCACCCTATTGCATTCAATTACTTAAGATTGTTATCCCTTTTTATTTTACAGGGAAATCCGATTGTCCATTTTACGCACGAATTGAATTGTTAGCAGATAAACTAGCCTTAAATCTACCCAATTTTAGAGTTACCAAGATTGTTAAACAACCAAATGAATGGAAAGTATGTAAATTATATTTTGTTTAGTATTTACTAAACAAAATAATAATAATAATTATTATTAACCAATAGGAATTTATTAAATGGATTAAAGAAACGCATGGTTGGTCGATAGAACAATCACCAGTTGTCTGGAGAGAATTAGTCAATAAAGGCGGTAAAGGCATTTTAATCGGTGGAGCGAATGAATTTCAAGAGTTGTTAGCTGCTTGTTATGGTGAACAATGTTCAATGCCAACTGAAAAAATCTTACAGATTGTTGAAGATAATATTCGATATAAAAATGAAGAAGATGAAGAGAAGAGAATAGAAATTGCTAATAGGATACCTTCAACAGGGATTTTAATTATTGGCGCATCTACACCAGCGACTAAAGAAATGCTTGGTATTATTATGAATGAGAAAAAATTCACTGACGGTTTAATCGATTTATACTTACATGATGTAGTGGAACGTCATTATTATTTGTATCATTTACAAGAAATGCTTCAAGAAGGAGCATTTGCTAAAGTCAACAATATCTGCGTGCTTGATGATATTGATGAATGCTTGTCAATTGTGAAACAAGTGATTATTATGGATGTGGTCCCACGAATATGCTTAAATGCTACAAATACTGACAGAGAAGAGGAGGAGGATGCCTGGGAGTCAAGAGATCAGTGGTTACGACGAAGATTTTTATACTTTAATAAACTTGGACAAAAGATAAAAGAAAAATGTCAGAAATCAGTACGCATTTTAATAGCTGGTTATCCAGGTTTAGGCAAACTATCTGTGCAAACAGCATCACCTATATGCTTTGATTTGACAGCATTATATAAAATTGTGTCAACAAAAATACCATCATCTCAGATAGTTGGTCTAGTCAGACCAATTGAACTACGCGTAAAGGCTACAATAGCTAAACACTTGAAAGTACGCACATGTGATGTCACTGATCTTGTGATCTGGGGCAATGCAGGTGGTTCAATGTTTGCAGATCTTTCGCGTTGTTGTGTTTCTTGTAGAACAGCAATGGGTACAGGTGTTGTTGGTGGATGTTTTCTTCGATTTCCGGTATTAAGTGTAGCTGAAAATCCCAAATGGTTAACTACTGAATTGTTGAATGTTGCTTTTAAAGAAAGCAGTATGAAACATGGATTAGTTCATGGGAATGCTCTAAGTGATTTATTGAAAGAATGGTGGAGTGTTAATCAAAATCAAAACGGACAGATTACCTCACTTGTTATGATATCAAATGGTGGTAAGATGATAATACTGTTAAATATATTCTGCTTGACTGTGACTAAATAATTCTTGACTGGTCTAAACGATCTATACAGACCGTTGAAAAAACAGGTTTCAAGGAAATACATTTGAATTCAATTTAGACCACGGATTGGTATCAGTTAGAGAACCAGGGAGTACTGGACAGCTGTTTCGTCAGCCTTGTTTGGGACTCTTCATCTGTATGTACACACCAAGGTTAGAACCAAGGATTTTCCGGTTAAAAGCTAAGCTCGTAGACCATTCAGCCCCTGGGACCCAACTCAATGGTCCATAAATTCCACCTTGTATCATTTCGTGATTTTAGCGAGACCACCAGCCAGTGTCATCAGCGAGTGTTCGTCCTCACTCTCAACCGGATGGACCCCACTGTTCATGACTTCTCACTAGAACTTCAGGCCATTTTTTTCTGTGGCCAGTCACTGTCGAGCATCAGATTAATTGTCAAATGTTAGTTTGTAGGGATTCGAGTTATAGATCTACGAGCTATCCTTGCAAACGGAAGGTCCTGGATTCGAACCCTGGTAGTGGGTGCTTACGGCCGATCAGTCCGAGACGAAGAAGAAGCATAAATCCAGTATTCCTTGCTGGTTTTCAATGATTCTCTAACTGATATCAAGCTTGAAACAAATCAAATCTTCACAAGCCAACACTTGAGGACATTTGAATTCGCTCAATTTGATAAATCGGTGAAAGTAGGTGGCAAATGCATGACATCACTTTGATTTGTAGTCACTCCTCATGTATATCCTGATTACGGAGACACTTTGCTTCCTATTCAATTACTTGAAAGATAATACTTTGAATAATGGAAACTATTTTAAGTTATAAAAGGAACAGTGAATACGTCTTTCCCTTGCAGGGGGATTTCGCCATCGCGAAACCACAACTGTGTTGCAAGAAAGTTGTAAGCAGAAGTCGTAAACGATGATTCACTCAGTTGCACCCGAATGATTGAATGGTTGAGCGAACTTCCACCTCCAGTAATCTGAATGCTTTCACTTGTGTCCTTTATTTGGTCGGAGGTACACACTACCGAACTAGAACAAAAGACACCTACGCATTACTTTTTGTTTTACTTAGTGTTTCTTTAGTGGATACTGGGTGATTGCAAAAGTCGATATGGAGACAGATTAACAATGAATTATCCTTTATTGGTGATGATATGGTGATGAAGGTTAGTCCGGAAATAAACCAGTCAGAATTGGCCTGTGTAAAATAACGCCCACTATCTTATTGATTATGATTACAGTGATTGGTCATATCCTTGGTGATTTTTTTTTTCATAAAATCATGCGTTATTGTGTGAAATATATTTTTCGGCTCACGTCGTTGAGGGTTCTCGCTTAAGTAGAGCGTGTCAGCGAACAGGTAGTTGTCGTATACTGTTGTTGTTGGCATAGTCAGGAGGTATTTATGACGAGTGTGTCCGTGTCTGTGTCTAACTCGGCTTCTCTATTTCATCTTCAACGTATTACGAAATACAACAAAAGTCTACCTTGAAACGTATCTGAGGCCGTCAGATATTCAACATATGAATGTTTAAGTATTTACTGGTGGTAGTTACTCAACGATTTATAAGCCAACACTAAAATGTTAGTACTAATCTATCCACTGTTGATCATAGAGCGTTAGGTTAGTAGTCTGTCTGTCTGTTTTCGACATAAAACTTTGCACCGATGTGCAGCAGTTCAAGTCGCCACACTCCATGTAGCACACAAAGCAAGAGAAGAAATGCAAACTAGACACAGTAAACAGAGGTGTGAGACAAAGGAATAGTAATAACAAGGAACAATATAGTTTCATTTGAAATCATAAGTCACAAGTGGTGGATACATCTGCGCCAACCATTGAGAACGATTTTGAGTCATATTACTGATTGTCGCTAGCCATAGGATTTTACCGTCCCGAGGACCCCAACCAGGAAGTCTTGACTTTCCTACATGGCTGGCTTAAACTAACTGTTGTAGATTTCATTGACTGGTGCCGTGTTTTGGTTTGACCGCCGCTAGCTCTTTTCCAGCCTGACCCTATATCAGCTAACATAGCCGGTCGAAAAAGGCAATGACTAGGCATACGTAACACATATCCTAACTATCTCAATCGGTGTAACTTCACAGCCTCGTCGATTGATTTCCCCTCCTTACCTAGCACTCGACTGAGGCCTAACCTCAATATTGCTCACCTTATTATACCATTTCACGCGGGAGATAGAACGCAGGCACCTGTGATCGAAGACAGCTAATCTTTTCATGTCTTCCACTCTCAATGGCCAGGTCTCACAGCCACAGGTTAGTAGGCAATAAGCTAATATTAACCCTCTCGATTTGCATTACACTGAAGGTTCAGTCTTTCCTTGAATAAATCAACACAAAGTGTTGATGCACAGTGTGTGCTTCAGGAGAGAATTCTCACTGGTTCATAATTCAATGTGGGGAATAAACTTCTAAACAAATTGAGGAACTTAGTTGTAGTTATTGAATTCTAAGATGATTCTTTCGTAAGTGATCGATTATGAAGAAGAGAAATAAACAGAACACAAATTAGCATTGAGATAGTGAGTGCTAAAATTGAGGTGTTACACCCTACAATCACCGGTATGACTGATAAAAGTAGAAATAAATCTGGTCGATACAATTTCTTGTATGCGTTGTGGGGGAGGAAATAAATATAGGGATAAGAATTGTTTTAGCATTTCAAGATGAAAATGCATCTCTTAATATTTGAAAACTTTTTTCTTTTCTTTCTCCCACCTAATTTCAGACTGGTATGGTGTCCCAAAAGGAATTGCATTTTCATATCCAATTATTTCTACTGGGAATGGTAATTGGTCCGTTGTAGAAGATATGCCTATGACACCTGAAAGTGAAGCTCAGCTGAGAACCTGCATTCAAGTGAGCGGTAGATTTGGCTTTTTTATATCATTATTATTATTAAAATCTGCCTAAAATTATTAGTGGAGATATTGCTTACTAGTTCATACGCTCGACTTCTAGCCAGTGGGTCCCATGCTCCTTGAATTTCACTGTAAATATTTTTCCCTCCTGGATAACTGAGTATCATTATTTTTCATGTGCCTATTTTTTTTTCTCCCGTACAACATATCCGTACACTGTAGTGGTTGTTTTGCACCCCTTCCCTTATTGTGCTTCATGAAATGTGACAGTTTGAACTGCAGCACTCTCGCGCAAACTTCTAGATTGAAACTCAGTCAGTAGAATAAAGGGAAATAGAATGTCAAACATGTGTGAGCTAAATGTGATGAGTTTCTACGGTCAAAAATAGAACAGTTTGATTGACCAATGGTTAACCTAATTTCTATTCATTACCATCGACTACGAGGAAATATTTTCTGACTAAATATATCCATCCTATGGTTAAGTAGTTTTTCATGAAAATATGTACTACTGATATTTATATAAGTAGTTGGCAACCGATCACATGAAGCATGTGTGCGTTTGTCTAACAGACTGATGATCTTGAATCCACTTCAATTGGATTATCGGGTCTTAGGCATTTAACTACAGTTAGGGTGATTGGTCCTGATAAATTAAATAATGTGGGAATAAGATGGGCCTTTGCAATGCATTCGTTTGCATGTTACCACACAATACGGTTTGGGTGGGATGAGTAGGAAGAAGCCAAGCACCGAATCTTTGTTCATCGAATCAACACCACATACGTGCAACCGATATATATATATATATATATATATATATATATATAGACATTCTGTTTGATGTTAGAGACAAAATACTTTTCACACAGTTCAATACTGCGTTGCGTCAGCAACAGAATACTATGTATGTTTGAACATTTTATTTCATTTTGTTGTTTGATGTAAACCAAAATCACACGTTCAGTGATTGGTTAACGAATATAAACTGTAGATATATAAACAGCGGTTTGATTAATAAAAAATATACCTTGGCTTCCATGTCTTGCCTTCTGTTGTTACAAGTGGAAGCGTACTGGGCCCGTAACCCACTGTGGATCGAAACCACGCTCTGACAACGACTTTGTGCATCACTGGCAGTACAGCGGTGGAATGCTCGCCAACCACGCCTCATGTGGTTCGGGGTTCGATCCCCAGCCACCAACGTACTCTTAGACCTTGCTAGGCCGGTGATAAAACCGGTAAAGAGGGAAGGTTGGGTATGAGGCTAGGGACCCCACCCCGTAAAAAAAATAAATACCACTGCTAGCCAAAACTTTAAAGCTCTAGCTTAAAGCCCTATATGTTCCACTAGATACGTAGAGAAATACAATAATTAATTAAATGAACACATACCGCATGTTCTGTTGTAATCTATTTCTTTCTTTGTCATAGTTGATCTGTTTTATTATGAGTGCTTATCATTTCAAAATCCAATATTCACTAAATTCTGTTCTCATTTGCAATTTTAGAGTATCCTTGAAGACTGGGCAGTTATTGATCCTGCACCGTTGGAGGCATTTTTAAAACAAGGTAGCAGCAATTAAAAATTTATTCGTGAATATATATTATCATATTATAATAACTTTTTCTGTTGCCTTTTTTCTTTCAGGTAAAAGACCAGAAGATATTATTAAATATGATGATGAATTTGAGGCACAGGACAGTGATGAACTACTTTGAGAGAGAATTCAGTAAGTTTAAATTTAAATTATTAAAAAAAACCAAAGTCAAAAGAGAAGAAAAAAGAAGAAAATAAAAGCAGTGACCATCGCCGGTCGTAAATGGCCGCTGATATAAATTACTTGTAAAATGAACAATATATATTATCCCTAAAGTATTAAAAAAAAACAGAATATATAACTTGTGTAAAAATTAAAAAATAAATAAACTAATGTGTGTAGAGTAGAAAAGCAAAGCAGCACGCCGACAATTTGGAAGTGCATAAATAGATTTTAAAACAAACGATAAATTCCACTGCTTCCTTTGTCATTTTTAACAAATGTATGCCTAATAAATAATAAATAAATAAATATTAAAACGAAGCAAAACCAAAACAAGATGTGTCAGACTTTTGATCACTGTGATGGAAATATATAAAAAATTGTAAAGTCATTACAATCATAACTGCAAAGAAAGAAAAAAGCAAATAAAATAAGAAAAATACAAATTAAAAGTAGATGTGAAAAAGATTTTCAGCTGTTTTCCGCAGGTTTGATCAAACAAACCTGTCTGCTTAGGATTGAAATAAATTTGTGTAATTACTACTTGCTATTGGCGCAGTATTATTCAACTTTATTGAACTTTTCGACTAATTTTCTTTGACTTATCAGCTATCGGTCTTGGTTTATTATCAGCAGCTATATGGCGTTGATATAAGCTGAAAAACAAACATGAAGAGAGAAAATATACATATAATGATGCACCAGCCAGAATCGGTAAGGCAAGACAAACCTTTGTCACTCTGAAATCAGTGGGGGAATCTGTTACACTCGGCCAGCATAAACAATAAAATTCGGATTTTCAACACCAAAGTTAAGTCAGCCAGTTCTTCTGTATGAGTCAGAAATTTGGCACCAGCGTTGCGAAACGCTTTTCTAAAAGCCCACTACCGACCTGTATCAACAGTAGCCTTCGCTGACTCCATTACTGATAATCAGATGGTCAGGGAGAATTAGTAACATGAAATTTTGAGAAAGGACCAGTCAAGAGCCTATTGTTCAACAAGTATGCCGAGAAAAATGGACATTCTTCCGACACACGCTAAGACCATCAGGGGGCACCGCACGCCAAGCCCTCGAACTGAACCCGATTGGGAAACTACGAACTGGATGTTCGGAGGGGACATGGAGATGAAAGCTTGTGGGCAGTCGTGGAGCCACACGACAAAGATTGTAGAGGACAGGACAATATGGAGACGAACTGCTTAGGCCGTCTGTTCCACTCGAAACCCGAAGGAATAATACTAGTATATAAGAGTGCAATGGCGGAACGCTCACCATCCACGCACATGGGCCAAACCGAGGCACTACTAAGCCTTTCTTATCCAGTCGATATTAGGTGTGGTAAGGAGGGAATGTTGATCATGAGGCTAGCGAACAACCCCATGAAAACAGCACCTGCCCCACTGAAACTCCAACGCTCAAGCTTGCAGCAAGTTAACTAAGGCATCACATGTTAACTAAAGTCAAGATCAGTAAAAAAAAACTTAGACCTTTCCGAATATGTACACGAACAGAAAACGTGAACCTCCGCTGTTCGGCATCTCTTGATGAAATTGTGTCTACTGTTGTGAAATATCCAGATAATCTGAATTAGCTATAGTAATTTCAACCTGGAAACTATGCTACCATCCTCAATCATAAGGATGAAATGTAGTACCCAAGGGTGTTCTCCATTATCCTAGTATGAGGATCTTATTGTCTTTCTATAGAAAAAAGGTTTGTACTATGCGTATAACAGTGAGGCACAAAGCTGAAGTCACTAGCTTCAAAAATATTAGATGAAATCATACCTGGCTGTCACCCCGGATACCTTTTAGAACTGTTTCTAAACTTCCATCGACGACATATCTGAGTAGGAATACATAGTCGGATCAACTCCAAACCTTACTGTTGGTTTCGAACAGTGGGGATAGATGGATGGTGGCTTGGTAGAAGTCGAAGTGAGGTCTTCTGTAATAAACTCCTCAAGACCTAACCTGTATAATAGGAAATCACAAAGTGATTTTTTTTCCATCAAACTAAAAGTGGTTCTCTAACGTCATGAAAAGTAGTGGGTGTTGGTCTGTCATTTCGGTGACAGTTTCCATATAGACGTTGAAGTGTGAGCATGTGTTCATTGCATCAACACTGTCTGAACTAAACTCAGTCTGCTTTCTATGAACTTCGTAACGATTTGATATCATACCAAAACATTGAAACATATTCAATCCTTCACACTTTTTTTAGTTAATTCACTAAATTTCTCAACTAGAATAACGTCTCTATGCTCCAAAAGAAGCAAAGATAAGGTGACAACATTTATGAACAAGAGAACAAAAAATCGAAAAAAAAAGCCAGAAGTTCATTGCAATTATTAACTTACAATTTATAAGTTTCAGATCGTATGTAGTCAAAGACATGAGAAAGTCCAACTTGTAATTGATCTTCAATTGGTGAAACCCAATCATTACCTGACAGTTTAGCCACTTGTTTAGGTCCACAAAGATCTAATACACCTTGTATAAATTAAAAAAACAATACAACGCCAATATTAGCTGAGTAATTATAACTAATTAATTAGTTAAACAGAATAGTGAATTATCTACAGGAAAGAAAACATTTCATACAAGTATTGATTTTCGTGAATACAATGTAGATTAGTGGCTATAATAGAGTAACACCGAAATAGCTTTATATGCATGACTTCGTGTAAACGGTATAAGCAAGCTAAAAACTGACTGACTGGTTTCAACATAGAACTTTGCACAGAAGTTCGAGTTGCCTTACTCCATATAGCCCACAAAGGAAGACAAGAAAAAGATATTCGAAAGAACGATAGTAAGCAGAAATGTGAGGGAGGAAAAATAGTAACATGAAGAAACAATAGGATTTTATTGTATACGACAGATCACAGAGAGAAAGGTAAGCTAATAATGTAATTAAGATATGCATTCGAATATACTACAAAACACTTGGTGTATTAGGCTAGAGGCATTCCGTATCATGCGGTAAAGTCTTCATACGGAGATAACTCTCAGAACCACTTCATCAAATAGGCCATGTGTGAACGACCTCAGGCAGTTGTCCCGTAAGCTTTGCGATCAGACAACAAACATTAATACTCTTTCAGTTTTAGTGGTATGAAGTATAATGTTACCTTTCGATTGTCCACGCAGCAGCAGCAGTAAATGAACCGAAATCCGTACTTCGGATCAAGTAGCTAAAGGTTACCTGCTGAATTTAATAAGTCAAACCACGAAATTCAGTGACAAATCAGGTGTCTGGGAGAATAAATCCTCATCGTAAGCAAAATAGCCATCAGGAAATTAGACTGGGGAGACCGTTGAAAAGATATCTTTCCTGAGCTTCTTCTTCTAACATTAAGTGCTCCAAATGAACTTCGGTTTACTATTCACTGATCCCTGATTGTTCTTATGTAATCGATTTGCATACTCATTTATTCCTCCTGTTTTCCCAAACTATCCATTATGCAACTACTTGTTTAATTTTTACGAGTATTTTGTCCTTTTTAATTCTCTCGTTTAATTATCATCTCCCTGACACGTTGGTAATGACTAGCTGTGATTAACAAACTTATTACAACTAGGGAGGGAAATTCTGTAATGTATTAGAGTTGTGATTTATGTAGTTTTTTATACACTTTACACAACCGCCATCTTGCAAAAATTGCCTCAGCGAACAATATGACACATTTTAATCAGTCTTGACAATGATATGGCTACGTATGTGTATGCAATATAGTTTTGTATTCAATCTCCTCCATAGTTTGCCAGTGTACACTCTTAAGAGTTCCTAAATAGAGCAAAAGAAGAACTGTTTGAAGCTCGTTTGTTTGTAACGGCTGATTGATTGGTTAGAAATTAGTTATCTGGCATAGGACTATTAGCCACAGTTATTATGAGAGGGTTGATGATACCTTACCCAATTGCCTGGGCTGAAGTAGAATGAGAGATGCCAATCCGGCAGTCATTGACTAGGAATTCAGCGCTTAAACCAATCAACTATATCTCTACCGTTTTTGAAAGTCTTCTGGGTAATATCATTTCATGATGAAAGCAATACACCATACAAAATATTATCCTATCTTGAAATCTCATAGAAAATACATTTTATTCATTACCACTATCTGTATACAACTGTAGATAAAGTCATACTAACAATGCGTAAATCAATCTTATTGAGTTGTATGAAGTCGTAACAAATTATGAAGTACAGTATATTAACACTTTCCATTGCATATATATGTATACAACTGAAAGTAGTTGTACTATTTGTATCACAATTATCTATTACACTGAAAGTTAAAAGTAATCGAATCACACTCTCTCGTAGACTAAAGTTTGCTTTCTATTAAGTCAATAAATAACTTAAGAGAATTTGTAATAGTAATAACAATAATTATTATTATATGTCGAGGTAAAATTTACCGCGAACCAATCCCTAGAACGGAAAACTCAGCGAAGTGTTCTCAGTGAGTGCAAGAGTAAGACAAGACTGCCTACTATCGCCGATGATATTCCTAGTCGTCATGGTCTGAATTATGAGGAACACCGTGAGTGGGGAGTGAGAAGACGGGAATACTTTGAACCGATCAGAAAACTCTAGAAGATCTGGATTTCGAGGATGATTTACGTTTAATGTCCCACAGACTCGAAGGCTTGCAGGCAGAAGAAGCAGCAAACACAGGACTTCAAGTAAACACAGGAAAGGCGGAGATGATGAAAACAACCAGCCGAAAAACAACAACAAGCCCAAATCAATATCAACCGAAAAAAATCTGAAAGATGTCACTTCCTTTACTTATCTGAGAAGTATCGTTTCAACTACAGCCAACTCCACAGATGAGGATGTCAAAACCAGCCAGAATCGGAAAGGCGAAGCAAACCTTCATCATTCTTATATCAGTTTGGAAATCTGCGCCTTCAGTGACTTGGTGATTTGTGGCAGTGTGTTCAAACACAAGACGACATGGATTTCACCAGATGGACACACCAAAAACCGGATAGACTTCATTTCCATCTCAAGGAAGTGGAGACGGAGCCTACTGGACACAAGATCGAGGAGAGGAGCAGATGTGGGTTCAGACCACTATCTAGTACAAGGGACTTTCAAGGTGAAGCTAAAAGCCTCGAGGAAGGACAAAAGACAATTCTACGACAATCTGGCCACTGAAGCTGAGAAGGCAGAAGGGGCCTGAGGAGATTATATCAGATAACCAAGTCTCTATCCGGGAAGAGATCAACACAAGTGAAACCTATAAAAGACAGTCAAGGGAACCCTATCACCAAGAAAGAGAGACAGATTAAACAATGGGTGGATCAATTCAAAGGACTGTTGAACCGACCACCACCTGCAACCTGTCCAGAAATACCAACAACAGCACGTACACAACTGCAAGTTGACACCAGTCCTCCAACGAAAGCTGGAGTCTTGAATGTAATCAAGCTTTTGAAAGCTGGAAAAGCAGCTGGACCGGATGGAATACTCCCTGAAGCACTGAAAGCGGACCCAGAGACGACAGCAGATACGCTGACTCCATCATTGCAAAAGGTCTGGAAGGAGGGAAAAGTGCCTACTGACTGGAGGAAAGGTTACCTCGTGAAACTACCAAAGAAGGGCGACCTAGGACTCTGAAAGAACTGGCGAGGAATCATGCTCCTGTCAACGTCAAGTAAAATTCTGAGTTGCATCATCCTGGAGAGAATAAAGGACGCACTGGATACAGAATTCCGACCAGAACAAGCTGGATTCAGGAAGGGCAAATCATGTTCTGACCGAATTGCAACTCTACACATCATCATCGAGCAAAGCATGGAATGGCAATCAAACCTCTACCTCAACTTTATAGACTTTGAGAAGGCCTTCGACAGCGTTGACCGCGAAGTAATTTGGAAACTACTCGAGTACTACGGCGTACCCCAAATATTCATCAACCTTATTCAACAGCTGTACGACAACGGCACATGTCAAGTGATCCACAACGGAAAACTCAGCGAGGCGTTTGGAGTAAACACAGGAGTCAGACAAGGGTGCTTATTATCACCAATGATATTCCTAATTGCGGTGGGAAACGAGAAGACAGGGATATCCTGGTCAGACGTGAGGAACCTATAAGACCTGGATTTCGCGCGTGGATGATTTATGTTTGATGTCACACAAAATCGAAGACTTACAAGCGAAAACCGACAAACTGGTCGAAGAAGCAGCAAAGACAGGACTCCAGGTGAACATAGACAAGACGGAGGTTATGCAAATAACCAAACAACCAACAACAACAACAGCAGCAACATCCAGCGACAATCACCATCAACGGGAGGGATTTGAAAGAGGTTACTTCATTCACTTATCTAGGGAGCATTGTCTTAACTACAGGAGGAACGGACGAGGATGTCAAATCGAGAATCGGGAAGGCGAGAAACACATTCATCAACCTGAAACCAATCTGGAAATCTTCGTCACTCAGCATCAACAACAAAATTCGGATTTTCAATACAAACGTCAAGTCAGTTTTGCTATACGGATCAGAAACTTGGCGAGTCACAAAGAATATTTCCAACAGTCTGTTGCAGACCTTTATCAAGAGCTGTCTTCGTTCTATACTGAAGATCAGATGGCTGGAAAGAATCACCAACAAGAAACTATGGGAACAAACAAAACAAACAAATATGCAGGAGAACGTGGAGATGGATTGGACACTCGCTGAGCAGGCCACTGGTTGATATCACGCGTCAGGTCCTAGAGTGGAACCTGAAAGGGAAGCGGCGAGTGGGACGTCCAAGGGTGACATGGAGGAGATCGTGTGAAGAGGAGTTGAAACAGTATGGACTAACATGGACGCAGGTGAAAAGTACAGCAGAAGACAGAAGCAGGTGGAGACGTGTAGTTGAAGCCCTATGTTGCACTAGGAACCCAAGGGAACAATAACAATCATAAAATACATCTTCACGACTGTGAACCATTTCAACCCTCCTCGTCGAGATGCTCTGAAAGTCAGCTTTAAGCAATCTGATAAGCCTCTACAGACAACTTTTATCAGACTGTATTATTATACTTCATTATGCTGACCTATTCTTTGGGCTCATACGTAACAATACTACGTAAATAAAAATATGTATTTATTCCACATAAGAATGTTGGAATGAATTTCCATCTGTGTTGCTCTTAACCTTTTCCATTTACCTTTAACAGAATCGAGCTTATGTTGTTTTGGGTGACAAAGAAGTTGACTATGATCCTAATTTCCGACTTTACCTTAATACAAAATTATCTAATCCTCAATATGGTCCAGATGTATTTAGTAAAGCCACAGTTATTAATTATACTGTAACAATGAAGGGATTAGAAGACCAATTGTTAAGTGTTATTGTGAAATCAGAACGATGTGAGTTGGAGGAACAAAGGGAATCTTTAATTAGAGAGACAAGGTGAGTTATTCCTTTGATATCAATACAGTGAATAATGCTATGATGGTGTATAGTTGTCTTTTTATGCACAAAATCTCAAAGTTGAATTTGTCAATGTATAGTATGTAGAGCCGCTGAAATAGTCACCGTTCATGCTAAGTTAACACTTACTCTAAAGGGCTATACCAAATGACCTAGACATAAAATTATACGAATTTATGTTCAATTGGGTAATTATTTATCACCACTGTGATGTATTCAATTCATATTCTGAGTTTGGAAGACTGAAATTTAAATAAAATCCTTGGTCATATGACAATTGGAAATAATGCCTTTTGAGTTACTGGTTAGCTCCAAGAGAGTACTTGGACTGTAATTCAAGGCCTAATTACTTAAACTCTTCTGTGACCTAAATTTCAATCATTCAACTTAGGTGATTATTTTTTTATTATTATTAATCAAACAGGTTCTGAGTGGAACACAGACCGTCAACAACACATACCCATTTCATCTTGATCTGTGCAGTACTCATCAGTTGGTTGCACAGTTGCCCATAAGGTCTCATCTCCCTCTGATACAATTTCCTTCACGTCACCTTCGGACTCTCGTCTTACATCTTCGGCTAATGTTAGTTATAATGTTCCTCATCCATGCATCCTATAGCTGAAACAATGCTTCCTAGGTAGGTGAAAGTTGTAACCCCTTTCAAATTTCTTCCGCTAATACTTTTGGTGCTTGTTGTTTTTATTGGCTGGTTATCTTCACCATCTCTGTATTCTCTACGTTCAACTGGGGTCCTGTATCCGCTGCTTACCTCTTCTGACACTTTGTTGGTTTCTGCCTATAAGTCCTCGGGTTTGTGTGGTGTGAGACACGAATCATCTTCGACGTTCATATATTCTAGAGTCTTCTTATCGGCCCAGCTTATTCTTGTCTTCTGGACCACCAAAGTCTGACGCATAATCCAGCCCACTACAATTAGGAATACTATCCATGATAATAGGCACCTCTGTTTTACTCTTGTCTTCACTTCAAACGCCTCGCTGAGTTTTCCGCTGTGGATTACTTGACATGTGGCATTGTTATGTAGCTATTGAGTGAGATTGATAAAGATTTCGGACACTTCACTCCATATTGTTGAACTACTTTCCAGGTTACTTCACGGTCAATGCTGTTGAAGTGGATGAAGTCGGTATAGAAATTTCATTGTCATTCTCTGTTCTGTTCGATGATAATGCACACAGTAGCAATTCGATCAGCACACAATTAGCTTTCCTTGGATCCAACTTGTTCTGGGTGGATTTTTGCATCCAGACCATCCTTTACTCTTTCCAGGATGATACTACTTGATCTTTTGCTTGGTGTGGACAAGAGCATGTTTCCCCACATGTTCTTTTAAAGGCCTAATTCGCCATTCTTAAGTATGAAAGTCTTTTCTTCCAATCAATAGATACTTTTTCTTCCTTCAAAAATTTCTGCGACGTTATCTGCTGAAGTGTACGTATCGGTTTTCGGTGTTTTTCAGGCGAAATTCTATCCGTTCCAGCTGCCTTCCTGAGTTTCAGTAACTTAGGTCACTACTCACTCTATAATGGAGAAATACACAACCTGAAAATCGAATGAACAGCTAATGTACAATATCTCATAGTAAACTTCATGCCAAAATTAGGAGCCAAATAGGATTTTTTTCACTATTCGTTACAACTTCGTCTGAACCTTGTTTTATTGTCTCAAAGTGACTGAATAGACTGATGGAAGTACAAGGATAGTTGTGATCTGAAACACTGTGGTGACTTACGTCTTAAAATCTGCAAAGACTGGTTTCACAAACTTTGTTTCCTATGATAGTTGCCCACCTTTTCAGAATGATGGCAGTTTTTTTCTGAAAATAGTCCGAAGACTGTTAATAGCGAAAAAAGGATATTCAAATTAATTCATTTCGAGATGACTTTAACCTGATATATTTAGAGTATCGATCTGTATACAAAGATTTATGTTATATATTAGAATATTCTTTGCTTTCTTTCGAATCAGTCTTACTTTTACTAATAGAGCATTTCCATGCAGACCGGACAGAACCGTATAGCAAGCATCCCCGCTATATCACTCGGTAAGTGCATGTAACTTCATTGACAGACTTATCTGTCTTATCTCAGACTCTACGCCTAATCCCTCACATGGTGCCCAAATGTGTCCTAAATTCTTTGTGGGTCTCTAGTTTATGAAAAGGAGCAGAAAGTATCTTCTTTGTCTTCAATCACTTTTATCGGATTATCTAAATTATACTTTCCGTCTTTTTTTCTATTCACTGTTACTAATATGACAGTCAAAATAAAAAACTTCTCAAAGATTTAGAAGACAGTCTTCTACGTGAATTGGCTACAAGTACAGGCAATATGCTGGATAATGTTGAATTGGTCGATACACTGGAAGAAACTAAATTAAAAGCAAAAGAAGTCACTGAAAAGTTAGAATTAGGCGCTAAAACTGCAATCGATATTGATATCCTACGTGATGGTTATCGTCCAGCTGCTAAACGTGGCGCTATACTCTTCTTTGTTTTATCCGATATGTCATCTGTGAATTCAATGTATCAATACTCGCTGACTGCATATCTTGACGTCTTTCAAATCTCTTTACATAAAAGTATGCCTGATGTTGTATTACAGAGACGTCTTAAAAATATTATTAATAAACTTACATATAATGTGTATACCTATGGATGTACAGGTAAGTGATGTTTCTTTGTTAGAATACAACTGTTCATTACATTGTTTGTTTGTTTTTGTATTTAAAAATCTGTTTAAAACTAAGTGGTTATGCTTTTTTACGAGGTATTAGATTGATGGATTTCATACAAACCCAGATCGTTTTGATTGGACACCAGTCAGTAACTAGTGTAATGTGTCTAGTCCTATCTTCGGTGCAGACTGAATTCTACCAGTCACGCCTGTAATGTGGCCACCATGCCAGGTGGCTCACCGTTACGGTGACGCGGGTTCAAATCTCAGAAGGGACATGAGTTCCTTCGAGGTTGCAGATACGCCTTGCTGATGAGTATCAACTAGCACGAAACCTAGCTTCAGCCAAGGCTTCCTGTGGCCGATCGCCTCCAACCATCTAATAAACCCAGATCTATAACCTTTTATCGCTTCTTAGCTAGTCATTGACTCAAACATAACTACAGTACTTGCTTCATAATATGAACGGTATTTTGACACTCTGGTAGGGAGTATTTCCATAACAGAATAAATTATTTGGTCTAAAGTATTTCAGTTTTGGGTGTTACAACATTCCTATTCTTGTAGATTCGATGAACGACAATTTCACCTAGTGGAAAGAAAGGCTGATCACTGGATTGACAGTAAACATGTACAATAGGAATCATGTAACATCGACAGCAGAAACACGGAATTCAGTGGGCAATCCTCTGTTGTGTCGTGAATCTACATTTTTGAAGAGTCCCAAAACAGGACAGAACATTATTTCAGACCTACTGATAAAAACTGTCTTGAAGTTACTTGACTTCTGACAAATAGCTCAACTTTAATTGCACTTTTACGCTTTTGGAAACTTCTATTCAATAGATGCGCAACATTGTTGATTTGAATTCTGTCACAAGCCAGAATTTTGTTTCAACTTCAGTGTCGAATGCATTTCAGTAAAATACCCCTCTGATAAATTAAGCTTGTATCAAACAATCAAAGCTAAAAAGCTAAATTTGAAGGTATCAACTTCCTTCACTTATCTAGGTAGAGTCGTTTCAACACCAAGCGGCACGGATATAGATGTCAAAGTGAAAATGGGATAGAAAAAGCAAGACATAGTTTCATCAACCCCAAATCAGTATGGAGATTTGCTTCAGCATAAGGAAAACGATTCGGATTTTTAGTAATAATGCCAAGTTAATGGTTCTATATGGCTCAAACACTTGGCAGAGGCATCAAGAAAAGCATTCCTCTAAGGCTGTAAACTTTCGCTGCATACCGAAGATCAGATATTCAGAAAGGATTGGCAACAAAGACCTCTGGCAATGAACCACGAACCTGTTGAGTGAAAAATATGCCACAAGAAATGGAGATGGACTTGATGCAAGGTGGGAAGACCGCTGAATGACATCTCGCGCCAGACCGTTGAATGGAAACCGAATGAGAAATAGAGAGTTGAGCGTCGAGCCAGCTAAAGACGGCTTCAGATAACAGGACGGAGTGGTGATGATCTGCTAAAGCCCAGTGCTCGACGTGGACTCATAAGGAATGACACTAATAATAGTAATATGAGTTATAATCAAACAATCTCACCAACAGTTACTGTTTCGATTGAATTTTTAGATTTTCCCGTCGATTGATTGGACTGAAGTGCTCGGTCTCAGGTTGACATGTCGGCTTTCTGTGCAGATGCTTCGACGATGTCTGTGCATGTAATTAGAGGTTAAATCACTTAGGCCACGAGAGAGAGGTGGCTCTCGTGGCCCAAGTCGTCTAGTGGATAACGCTTTGGGTTTGAAACTATGGGCACTGGGTTCGAGCCTCGGCGGGAACATCATCACTCACTGCGGAATGCAGGTACATCCAGTGACGAGTTACAGATAGGACGAAACGCGGATCCTGGATTCCATTGTTAGTCACCCTCCACCAATTAGCTACCGTTTTTCTTTAATTCAAGTTAGTGTAAGCTAAAACAAGGAAGGTGGATTAGTTAACTAGTTTAATTTTGATGACAATTATGACAATAGATGATGTTGTAACTACCAGTCATCCACTTTGTAGATGAATAAAATTCTTGGTAATATTGAAATAAGAATCTTCTTCAAGTTAACTTCATCTTTTCTTTCATTTCGGTTTTTTTGTTTTTGTTATAATTATACAGGTATATTTGAAAAGCATAAACTTTTATTCAGTTTTCAAATCACTAGTAAATTAGAATTGAATAAAGGCAATGTAAGCGCAGGACAAATGGATTTCTTTATTAAAGGTAATATATCTATAGAGAAAGCAAAACTTACTAATCCACTGCCTGATTGGTTACCTGATTCTAGTTGGAAAGATCTTTGTCAATTGATTGAACTATTTCCAGAACAATTTGCATCATTATCTGATGATTTAGTGAAAATGAATAAACAATGGAAGAGTGTAAGTGGTTAATTATTTCATTCAATTTGCTTATATCTCAGAAAAAGATTAAAAAAAACAGTTTAAGCAAACACTTCTGGTTCCTAAATGTTGAATCTGTAGAAATTTTGGATGTACCTATCTAGTGTCATTGGAGAGTTATTGGTTGATGTTGGCTGTCACAACTTCATATTAGAACATCGAATGCCAGATGATGTTTCAACTTACATAGCAAAACGAGATAATTTAGAGGACCATTGAAAACAACAAAGTAATGGATGAATGTTTCGTCCCTGCTTGACACTCTTCAGCACTCATGACTCTAAATAGGATCGGATTCAGGACCTACCGGTTACAAGGCTGTTAACATTCTATTGTTGTTCATAATCATATCAGTTATAACGACACAATTTCGAAATTCTCGTTTTATAGTTTTCTTTATCCCTTCCTATTCGTCATAACGGTAGTAAGAATTTTCCAGATATCTGGGACAGGTGTAGAATCATTCCTACTGCATGTACTTCCAGCTGATTGGATAAGTAAAGCTTCAATTATCAACCTCTTTCTCCACCCCGTTGTGTCAGATTTTCAGACTGTCATTTTATCCCACCCTGCTGTATGGTTGCGTGTAATTTTATGCAGTGCTATATCTGAGCTATTCCCCATATTTCTTATTTTATTACAAACAATTAATCTAGGTTTATGAAGGTTTTTGTGCTCCTCTAGTCTGAATGACCCCCTTCTACTACTCTGACCTATGTATTCGACCTGACTGTCATTGCAGCATATTTGATAAGGCAATAAAACGGGGCCCCACTTCCACCTTTTTATAACTATGCTGTTCGTACTGTTGTTGCACACTCTATGACAAAGCCTGAGCTGAAAAGAGACTCTTTGGTGAATCACTTGTTTTAATTATCTAAATGTCCCATGTGCGTCGGTGGCACAGCGGTAGAGTGTTCGCTGACCACTTAGGTGGTCCCGGGTTTGATCCTCGCCCACCAACGCACTTCTTTACCTCGCTAAGCCAGTAGAAAGACTAGTAAAGAGGGAAAGTTAGGCATGAGGCTAGCAACCCCATCCTGTAAAAATAATAACCACTGCTACAGAAACTTAAAGCCTGTAACTTAAAGCCCTATGTTCCACTGGGAACGTAAACGAAAAAACAAAAAAAGTGTCCCATGGGGAATTTACCACGAATTAAATGTATGGTATATATTATCAGAATACTATTCAATAAAAACGTAATATTGTCGTTGTAATTTCAATTATAATGGATTTAAAAGCCGAAAAAGAAACTATTAAAATTATAATTTTTTCTTCATTTTCCTTTTTCCATCTTCGCTTACTTTTCAGTGGTATGAATCTGATACTCCTGAAAGTACAACAATACCAGGAAGTTATGAAGAAAAATTGGATAGATTTCAAAGTCTCTGCTTATTACGTTGTTTTCGAGTGGATAGAATCTATCGTGCTATTACACTGTATATAGCTGATATCATGGGTGAAGACTTTGTCAGTCCACCAATATTAAGTTTTACAACAATTTATGAACAAAGCACATCAAGATCTCCTATCGTTTTCATTCTCAGTCCAGGTTCAGATCCAACAGCTGATTTAATGAAATTTGCTGAAAGACAAAATTTCGATTTCAGTCGAATTAAATTCCTCTCTATGGGTCAAGGTCAAGAGAAGAATGCTGAAAGTCTCCTGGAATTGTCAATTTCTCGTGGGCATTGGTTAATGTTACAAAATTGTCATTTATTAGTGAAATGGTTACAAGTGTTGGAAAAATATTTAGAAAAATTAACAAAACCTCATCCAGATTTTCGATTATGGTTAACAACAGAACCGTGTGATTCATTCCCGATTGGTATTTTACAACGTTCACTGAAAGTAGTCACTGAACCGCCAAATGGTTTAAAATTAAATTTACGTGCCACTTATCATAAGATAGCACCATCCGCTATGACTGAGTGTACGCATACAGCATTTCCTTCACTAGTTTATACACTGGCATTCTTTCATGCTGTTGTACAAGAACGTAGAAAATATGGTAAAATTGGTTGGAATATCGGGTATGATTTCAATGAATCCGATTTTCGTGTTTGTATGCAAATATTAGTCACATATTTACAAAAAGCTGTAGACGAAAATGAAGTGAAAATTCCATGGAATAGTTTAAAATACTTAATTGGTGAAGTAATGTATGGTGGACGAGCTATAGATGAATTCGACAGACGTATTCTGCGTACTTATATGGATGAATATTTTGGTGATTTTATTTTCGATACATTTCAACCGTTCTATTTTTATGCGAATGACAATTTCCAGTATGCTATACCGAGTGGAACTACACGTGATGAATTTAGTCGTAAGTTTCTGTGTCGTTAGTTAGTCGATTAGTTAGTTTATTTAATGTCAATATATTTTGACAAACAGAGATCATGATTGAAAATTGAATGAGATCATTTGTTTAAATTCTATCAGTTAACATTTTGAATTGTTGAAAAATGATACATGTTGGATATGTCTCTCTCTTGAAATTTCGGTAGCAATGGTGTTTTCATTTTTACGGGGTGAGGTTGCTAGCCTCCTGCTGAACCTTGCCTCTTTACCAGTCTAATTTTACTAACTTATTGAGGTAAAGGAGTGCGTCGGCCGGGGATCGAACCCCGAACCACATTCGTGGTGGGAAAGTATTCTACCACTGCGCCATCGACTCACATATGTCTCTCTTACCTTAGTTTAACAGTTGTTTATATTTGTTACTGCGCGTAGCTCTTCTTTTAATCGAATCTTCTATTTCAAACTTGACATTTACAAGTTCATTATAGTATCCAGGTGTATACACCAGCCAACTTCGCACTTTGAAGCAGTAGTAACATCAGAAATATGTGATTTAGGGCCTTACTCAAGTGAGCGACCAAAGTAATAGAGATAATGCCCAACACCTATTTGGGCTCATCACGTAGACGGTTGGTCAAAAATGTATACTAATTGAAATGTTCACTAAGGTGGATGGAACTTGAATTACTTTTCCGAAAAAGAGATGAGCAGAAAGTTTGGCGAAACATTGTGGAAAGAAATTCATCTGACCTACAAATACACAACAGTTGTACACCATCCATCACCGGATTGGGATGATATGGGCATTGGTCCTCCAACTGTCCGTGAGGTCGCAAAACGCCGTTTCAGTGATGTGCAGAGATGATGACTGTCTGACTATGGGGGGTCTTTGAGGCTGTTAGAACCAATCGCACGAAACTGTAGTTAACATGCCTGAAAATCGTTCTCAGTGATTCAGATGCATCGACTCTATGAACTACCAAATCCTAACACTAATACCATTGATTCATCTACTAGAAAAGAATTAGTACATCGCCATCCGAAATCGTGAAATGACAAATATATAGACAGAAAATCAACTGATACATCTGTTCGCCGTTCTGAGTTACACCAGTAGCTTGAAATTCACCAACCAAGCCGATTGAAAGTTACAGGACTTTCATTATGAGCTGACATTAGTTAGAGAACCATTGGAAAACCTGGGAGTACTGGAAAGCTGTTTCGTCCTAGTTTGGGACTCTTCACAAAACTCACCCACCGGGATTCGAACCCAGGACCTTCTGGTTACGAGGCAAGCTCGTATACCATTAAGCCACTGGGACCCGATCCAATGGCCCATGAATTCTAACTTCTGTCAATTCACGACATAGCGCGACCCCTAGCCAATGTCTTCGGCGAGTATTTATCCTCACACCCGACCTGCCGCACCCTACTAGTCACGACTTCTCACTAGAACCTCAGGTAACTACCTACCTGAATAGGGCAAGTCGCTAGTGAGCATCGGAATAATTATTAATAAACTAGGACGAAACAGCTGTCCAGTACTCCCAGGTTTTCCAATGGTTCTCTAACTAAGGTCAGCTCATGATGAAAACCCTATAACCAATCAAATCCCTACAAATCAACACGTGAATACCAATTGAAAGTGTTTTGCAGATTGTTGTGTGCGGTTGAATATTTTTGTTGTTGAAATTATTTCACTTCCTTAACATTCTTACATGAGAGTGAAGTGAATTATCAACATAGAACTTTGAACAGGTTACCACATTTTGAAAAAGCACACAAAAGTAAAGTAGATAAGTGTAATGAAACTCTGACAGACGAAAGTCTAATAGGGAAAGAATAGTCAAGCAAAAGTTAGTGAGGATTTTAGGAACCTGGAAATGACAAAGAACAAGTGGATGTACTTGAATGCCATGGACCTTGAGCTATGTCACCTACCATCTCAAACCAACAGTAAGAGACTTCATGTGTTGCTGCTACGTTTTTATCTCACCACCTTTAACTCATTTCCAATCTAGTTCTAGTTCAGATGATTTTGCTCGTCACGAAAAGCAGTGGCTCGGCATTCTTCACAACCCCATCCATTGACTTCCCCTCAGTGCCTGAGATTCTACGCTTAACCCTATTATTCCTGAACATATTGATCCACTTAACATGGGAAATTGAATGGAGGCAACTGTGGTCTAAATTCCACTGATCTTCTAATATCCTCAAATGTCAGCAGGCATCTGTGACAGTCACAAGGTAGGACAGGATGAATTGCTATAATGTGTATATGCTGTGTGATAGGTATTCGAATATAGCTTATTTGATAAAGAGGATGGAGGGGGATCAACGTCATGAACTAGCCGTTTGTATCTAAGCTGAGATTTCTTCAAGAATCAGTCCATTAAGGCTGATGCAACTTGCCTAATGAATGGAGTGGTTAACACATTCAGCCATTTCAGTCCTTGTCGTCAAATCTAGAGTTGCTACAGATCAGATATGAAGCATTATCTTATGTAAAACTCAGGAATTATTCATTTAACAGTTAGACTGATTTTGTTCAATCTAACGTATATAATTACGTTTTATTTTGTAATACTTAATAAGAAATAGTGTGTTAGCGATAATTTATTATCATTATTAATGTAGGTTATATCGAGTCCCTTCCGTTAACAAATACTCCTGAAGTGTTTGGTCTTCATTCCAATGCAGAAATAGGATATTATACAAATGCAACTAAAGAGATTTGGAGTCATCTACTTGAATTACAACCACAAACAAGTAGTCAAACAAATTCAACGAATAGAGAAGAATTTCTTAGTCAGATAACTGATGGTTTACTAAGCAGTCTTCCACAAGTATTTGATAGAGAAGCTTTAAAAAAGAAATACGGTGTTAATATACAACCAATTACAGTTGTACTATTGCAGGTTAGTAAATTTTCTAAATGGCATTTTTTTTATCAAATTCACAATTTGAAAATTAATTTGCAATTTACACAGTTCAAGGTGGCGAAATTTTGCACTTTCCGGTCATAAGACAAGCTCGTAGACCATTAAGCCACTGGGGACCGTAGTTTGAACCCTCGAGGGTGCGCACTGATGAGGAGTCACAAGCTAGGACGAAATAGCTGTCCAGTGCTCACTGCTGATTTTCCATTGGTTATCTAACCTATCTCAGCTCATGATGAAATCGTGTAACCAGTCAGTCAAATCCCTGAAAACCAACAGCTGAACATTTATTTTTTTTATTGTTTTGTCTGTTTAATTTGTGAATAATATGATTTTCTCAGTAGCGAAGATTATTTTATATTTTCGAATTAAGAATAATAATTATTCTGATGCTCACTAGCGACTGGCCCTATTCAGGCAGTTAACCTGGGGTTCTAGTGGAAAGCTTTAAGCAGTAGGAGACAGCAGGTTGAGGCAAGTGAGGCAGTAACTCGTCGAAGAAGACATTACGAGTTGGTCGCGCTGTGTCATGAATTGGCAGAAGTTGGAATTCATGGATTGGCCATTGGATCTGGTGCCAGTGGGTTAATGGTCTATGAGCTCACTAGCCTTGTAACCAGAAGGTCCTGGGTTCGAACCTTGGCGGCGTGTGAGTAGTGTTGAAGGGTCCCAAACTAGGCTTATGAAACAGCTGTCCAGTACTACCAGGTTCTCTAATGCTTCTCTAACTGATGTCAGTTCATGATGAAACCCTCCAACCAATCAAACACAATCCCTACAAAACCAATACTTGGAAAATAATAGTTGCGAAAAAATTTTCAGTGTTCATCAAGCTTTGGAGTGTCTTTTTCAAGTTGTACTACAATGAAATAAGAGTGTAATTCCTTTCATTTATTTTGATCAACGTTTAAGAGTTATTTCACCTGAATATCTTCATAAATATTTTACCTAAAAAGTAGGGAAAATGGATATATATCAGGTGAAACATCTCTCTCAGATATAATGGAGATGTGTATCTCAGGTGGATGATTTTGATGTAGTTGTGTTCTCTGAGCTGAGTGGCTTATCGAAAATCAACTCACCCAGACTAAATACTCAGTTACAACAGCAACAATACAATAATACTATTCACGAGAGCCAGTACTCATTGAAGCACTCCTACCTTAAGGAAAATGGAAGAAAAATTTCTGATAGATGTCTTGCGAAAGAATGGATATCCATGGAACTTCATCAAAAGATATCTATTCCAAAGCCCATCTACTAAATCAGAGGCCCCCACGGAAAGCACAAAGAAAATCACCCTACCATATTTAAAAGACAGCATCTCAGAAATCACTGCAAGACTCTTCAAACCCTTAGGAATTGACGTCTCACACAAATAAACAAAGTCACTTCACTCAGTCATCCATGTGTCAACTAAAAGGCAGACTCAACAGCGAAAGAAGATAAAACCTACATCATCTGCAATATAAATTGCAATGACTGCAAAAAACACTACATTGGCCAAAGTGGACGGCCTCTTCGTCTTCGTATCCGTATGATCATAAACTATCCGTCAGAAGATATTGAAATCCACTCCCCCATATTGCTGCATACAGACAACTACGGACGTCAACTCGACTAGGACAACGTCCAAATATTAGACAGAGGAAACACCAAGAATCCCAAGGAATTTTTAGAATCCAGGTATTCCGATGAATCTTCAATTGTAGACACACTGATATAGACAAAATTTACCAATCGATAAGAAGAAAATTTCACATACAAAGTGTCAAAGTTCAAGTCAAGGAAACAATCAATACGAATACAAGTATAAGAATAGAACTTGTGCACTGTGGTAGAATATAATTCCAATACAACCAATACAAGTAGCCTAGATGGTGTGAAAACAGACAAAAGGAACCAATCAAGTTGAAGATCATCAAGAGGGATGACTTACAAACTCGTGGAGAAATCTAAAAGCTCAATTCAAATTGAGGTATACGCTGAAGATGTTGCCCAGTAGATCAATGGAAGCTTCGAAAAGAAATCATTCTGCTCAGAAAACACAACTACACCAAAATTATTTAACTGAAATTTAAATTTTCCCGTCGATTGATTGGACCGAAGTGCTCGGTCTCAGGTTGACATGTCGGCTTCTTGTGCAGATGCTTCGACTATGTCTGGGCGTGTAATAAGAATTTAATTGGTGGATGGTGACTAGCAGTGCATTCCAGGATACCTATTTCGTCCTATTTTGGACTCGTCAGCGAAATGTACCTGCATGCGTGGTTGGCGAGCAGGCTGCCGCTGCAGCACCGGTGCCATCATTGTTCACTGAGTGACACTGCAGCTGAGTAGAAAGAGACACGCATCATCGAGATGTTTATGATGATCACGTCACGAGATGAGTGAGGCTGTGATAATATTCCAGTGTGGTGTAGTTCGGAGTGGTTATTGTGCGAATAGAAGGAAGATGCGAGAGATAGAAGCGTGCGTAGTGAACACAGTATTGGTGTGGCGGATCGTCCACACTAATTGGTCCCATATGATGACGAGAAATAGGCGATGGAGTGTAAATTCGGTGGAGTGACGCATAGTCTGCGACACATGTGGATTCCACTGCTAGTCACCATCCACCAATTAAATTCTAATTACACGTCCAGATATCGTCGGAGCATCTGCAAAAGGAACCAACATGTCAACCTGAGATCAAGCACTTCAGTTCAATCAATCGACGGGAAAATCTAAATTGAATTACATAACTGACAAAGCCCGTTGCACAAGAGATGGCTCTTGTGGCCCAGGTGGTCTAGTGGATAACGTTTCTTCGTTTGGAACTATGGGTACCGAGTTTGAGCCTCTGTGGGAACACCATCACTCACTGAGGAGTGCAGGTACATCGAGAGGACGAGTCCTAAATAAGACGAAGAATGGGCATCTTGGATTCCACTGCTAGTCAACACCCACCAATTGAATACACCCAAATTCCTCTCAGTTTCTTACACATAGCTTGTCATGACTAATCTTCAAGATATTATACACTCTTTGTGGCAGAAGTTACAAGTTTCTTCATGTTGTTGTTTTCTTTTTCCACTGTAGGAACTTGAAAGATTTAACTTACTCATTAAAAGAATGGATCAATCTCTTAGAACATTAAAACGAGCATTGAATGGAGAAGTTGGCATGTCAGCTGAACTCGACAATTTGTCACGATCTCTTTACAATGGTCAACTGCCAAATATATGGCAGAGATTAGCTCCAGCGACTAAAAAGTCTCTAGCCAATTGGATGATTCACTTTCATGATCGTCATAAGCAATATACTACTTGGGTAAGTTGTAGCATCAATAAGCTCTGAGAATAAAAAATAAAAAATCAGATTCTCCTGAATGTTATACTTTCTTGGACAATGAATATTAATTAACCGTATAACTGTTATTTATTTGTTTTACTGTGTTACACAAAAAAATTCAAACAAATTGTGTCATAGTGTACAGCAGTGTCATTCTGCACGGCAGATTTAAATGGCTGCATTCACTGCCTGAACGACAGATTTCAGTCAACACCATTCGGTGACCAATTCATGTATGATTGACTGATTGATAAGGCAGAGTTATGTATTCCGTTTACTGCCGAAGCCCACTATTCTTCAAGCTCTAACGTTGAGCAGAAAGTATTTCGCAAATAAAGCAATGTAATACAGTAAAACACTAAGTGACGCTATCCTTTACCATCTGTCTTCAATTAAATTAGTCTACTAGAACTAGAAATTTAGCACTGTTCATTCAGCAGTGAGCAATCCTAACTATAAACGAATGATTTCAAACCATATCCTGTCAAAAAGAAATGTAATTATGGCCAGTGATATTCTTAGATTAGACTACATACTGTTCAACAGTGAAACTTCCAGGGGGCTGGGTGAAGAATGTCTTCTACACAACTTATAGAACAGCATCGTTTTTTTTCTAAAATTCACACTGAGTATTGACAAATACCTAAATCTCAGTGAGGATTTCATCATGATTCCACACATCAGTCAGGGGATCAATGAAAATGAGGAAGCACTGGACATCTGTTTTGTCCTAGTCTCAGAGTCTTCAGCATTCCAACCACAACCAACTCAACTCAGGATCGGAGAGTAAATAAAGATATGCATGGGAATTAATCCAGATCCTTACAGTACCCATCATAGAAACACGAATCCTTAGCTCATTGGCTACTACTGAATGAATGTCCTAGAACTTTAGTGGAGAACAGGGGCCAGTGGGGTTAATCATCATTGCCAAGGTGAAGTGGGTGCTCATCAGTGGTATTAGTTAGTAACAGCGCTACATTACAAATTGACAAAGTTAGGATTCACAGGTCATAGAATTCGGGCCCAATAGCTGAACAATCGATGAGCTTTGCCTGTTAACCCATAGTTTTCTGGTTTAATCTCTGGTGACGTTGTTAGTGCGTACTGCTGAGGGGTCCCAAGCTAGGGCGAAACAGCTGGTTAGCCGTTTCTGAGGTGAAATTAAACAATACCATCCCAGGGGTGTGAACTCTTCATTGACCTAGAAGGCATGCTAGTCGTTGGCTAATAACATATGTCATTATCACAGCGTAAAAATGAACGCTATTCACCAACTAAGAAGCAAATTTCACCCAGATCACTTTTCCAAGAGTATTGTTTGGACGATATGTTAATAGGTTGTTAGCGTTAGGATTAGGGTTAACATTAAGGTTTGGTTTACGATGAGAGTTGGTATTATTTATTTTAATTTGTTTTATCATCCACGTTTTCCTGGTGAGTAGTCGTCAGTCCTCTTACTGGAAACCATAGTAATTCAACCGCGGGTTTTTGGGAATACTGCAAAACAGGATTACAGCTTACTGTAAGTCACCTAGGTGGGTACATGTACAGAAACTGGTCTAACTTAGCAGGTGATACTCCTCATTATAACTGGGACGTATTTTTAAGTCATATCAGAGATAGATAACCTGTTTAATGTGTTTTCATGCATTTCTCCTGTAAATAAATGTCATTTTATGAACAAAAGTTACTTATTTTTATGGTTGATCGGCCCAAGGTCACTCGTGCGTTCGCATCCCTTGGGACGCTACTGTCTAACTTTGCCATAGCTGAATTTTGATGATTCTCTAGCTGATGTTGATCTGGGACGAAATCTATGTCGAAATTCATCCGGTTCCTCACAAAACCTACAATCTAAATATCTAAATCTCAACTTATCTGACATTGTAGCTTCATCCTACAGTAGCAGATTTCTTAAGTGAATTGTTTGTTAACAGGTGTTGTATAGTCGATTATCTCCCATGCCAAAGTGTTTATATCTGGTGATGTTCATGGTTGGAAATTTCGAAAACATTCACAATGTTAAAATATGCATCAAAGTGGCATAATTTCCTTTTTTATTTGGATTATGTAGGGCTAAATAAATATGTGATGAAGATCGTTAGTTTATGTGGAATCAAACATACCCTCTGTATCTCACACACACACACATACATACACTCTTCTGATATTTATAAGATAGGGTTTCATTTTTATTATTCAAAAGTGAGCTGCCTACAAGCGCACTCACCTGTCTAAATTAAACTAGTATATTCAAGTGTTGAGATCGTGGAAGCTTAATTGATTTCAAGATGGATCTTCCTATGAACCAACATTTTTAACAATACCAGACTGGAAACCAGAAAGCATTGGGTAACTTTTTTGTCGAAGTGTAAGACTCCCCCACAGTAAGTCAATTAATGAGAACTAAAATTCATGGGTCTCTGGATTCCAGGCGAGGAGCTGGATTGTAACGTAATCGCCTGGTGACTTGAAAACCATCGTCCCGATAGTTGATCCAGTCCTGGGTTCTGCTCTTCCGCTGAAGAGTTCTAAGTTCTCTAGTTTTCTGTGATCCTCTAATTGATGTCAGCTAGTGGCGAGAAATACTATGAACTGGTATTTTTGTGATGGAGGCTATCACTGTGATTCAAACGCGCATTTCATTTAAATATCAAGTTTTCATCTGAATGTGTATTTATCCTGGTGAAAAACAACCTCCAGAGTGAGATGATATCTCATCACCTGTCCATTTAAGTTTCACTGTTATCCATCAATCAAATTTCTAAACTATGAATGCCTGCTTTGTTCAGTAAATATTATCTTGAACTTTTAGTTTAACCTTATGAATTTTCAACCTTTTAATTGTACTATCACTTATAAATCTATTCGATTTTTCTGTGATCTTTAGATTGAAAATGGAGATCCAGGTGTTATTTGGTTGTCGGGTTTGCATATCCCTGAATCATTTTTAATGGCTTTAACACAAACAACATGCCGTCGTAATGGTTGGCCGTTAGATAAAAGTGCACTGTTTACAACCGTAACACAATATACCGATTCATCTGAAGTCCAAGAACGTGCACATCAAGGATGTTTTGTTCAAGGACTTTATTTAGAAGGAGCAAGTTGGGATTTAACAAAAGGTTGTTTAAAACGTCAAAAATCAAGACAATTAGTTCAGCCTTTGCCTATACTTCGTATCAGTGCTATTGAAGCGCATCGTTTAAAATTACAAAATACATTTTGTACCCCGGTGTATGTAACTTCAGATAGACGAAATGCAATGGGAGTTGGATTAGTTTTTGAAGCTTATCTTAAAACTGAAGTACACTCAAGTCATTGGGTATTGCAAGGTGTATGTCTTACTTTGAATACTGATTAATGATGAACGTATCTTTCTAATGATATATAATTTTCAATCGAACTTTCACTTTTTATTTCACTTTTTGCAAGTATTTTCAACTTCTTTTTTACAAAACTAATTTCTACTGTTATTTGAAATATATATATACATAGAATTGAAATGATACTTACTTATCTTTGTATTACTTCCAGTAATTTCAACATACATTTGATCAAATTTCGCCACTTTAGATAAAAGGCAATACAGTAACAATAACACTAACCAGCAAGGTATTAAACTTCAGTGTTTTAGTGAATTATTTATGCATGAGGTATTTGGTGAGGCTCCTCGCTGTTTGGTACACTGCTGTGTTGCCCTCTTCTACTTGGTCGATATTCTTACCTGGATAAGTTTTTTTGACGGAGTATATAACAAAATAAGGTAGTGGTAAAGAATGGACACTTTAGTCGAATGACCTTGGACCAACCAATCAGATCGCTGGATATTAAAAATGAATGCTTTCATTGCAAGTCTAACGCTGATTCAGCGTTAGGGTTATGGTTGAAATTGGGGTGAAACTTGCAGCGAAGATTAGGATTTGTATGAAACTTGCAACGATGATTACGGGCGGCGACTATTCGAAATGTTGAGCAATGTAACTATTATCATTAGATTATATTCGTCATATAGTCAGTCACTCATTAGAATTAGTGGATCGTATAATTGATATTCACACAGATTATGGTTTGTTTACTGTAGCCACTCCTATGGAAAACTGAGATCTCTTTTTGCAGCATGTTAGAGACGTATATCCTGTATAATTCATTTATGCTGTATGTATATATCCAATAAACGTAGTTTTTTTGTACTATAAATGGCACTTTCTACCTAGGTTGACTGGTTCAAGATCATTTGATTGTGTTATCTATTCTATACTGTTGCTCATAGTAAATTACGACACTGTCTATAATTCATCCACCAAAATTGCTGGTCACAACATCTGTTAACATAATAGCAATAACACTGGCACACGAAAACAAAAATGTGAAGACAGATCGTCGACAGACACCTTTCACTGTCCCAACAATAATCAATACAGTTGATAGGAATTATGAACACCTACACCACAAACCCTAAATTCATTGTTAAATGTAGACGAATCAACAATCGATGAAAGTGTAGCTTTCAGAAACAGAGGGAAAATAAAAGACTACTAACAGCACCGAAGGTGACTGAAGCATAGAATGAGGTTATTTTAGAGTTTTAGGCTAAACTATGGAGTAAACTATCCAGCAAAAATCTCATTTTTAACAATATCCACACGAGAATATCTTTCTCTTTTGTAAGTCATCTCAGGTAGAGCAAACAAAATACTATTATTCTGGATTATAGCCCACCATGTATATATATATATATATATATATATATATATATATGAAGAGAATTATATTCCCAAAGAAAATCAAGTGAACACTAAACAGAGGCTAATATCTTTTTGGCGTTTGAATAAAACTATCCTATCGGTGTTTGTTTTTTATTCTTCATATAACTGATTTACCGGGTATCCTAGATTCCAGAGCTCTTTTCTATACGACTTTGAAAGTGTATAGCAAGAAAGAACCTTGAGCTGGGAAACCTATATAATCATAAAAGAGGATCTAGTTCCATCCTCCAACGTGAAACTAGAACACTTCGAATCCTGTGAATCAGATTGTTATTGGCAATATAAAAACACCAAGTATGACTGTAGAAGTTTCTTGACAAAGGAACACGTAAAGGAACTAAGCAGACTGATAAATAGCGAAAAGACTTGTAATTACAAAGCCTGATAACGGGTCAGGAGTAGTTGTCTTTTACAGAAGTGATGATATTAAAGTGTAGTGCACCTTGAGTGTTTGAACTTTTGCTTTAACACATTCATGTAGTATGGCGCCACATCGTCTTTATTCTTCCGGCGTGACTGCTCGCATGGGGCTCACTCCCTCGTTTTGGTATCATTAAGCGCACTCTTCGAGCTTGCTGCCCCAGCCAGTTAACAGACAAGTAGTACACTATTGCTACAGATTAGTTTTGGTTTTTCGCTTAATGTATTAATATAATTCGTATCTGGGCACACAATAGTGCATCACCTTTTATTTGACTTCATTCATCAGTACATACAGGTTAGTTAGTGTACTGATCAGGGTTAACCGAGGAAAGCAAGTTTAGTAGGTGCTGACGTTAAGGCCAATCTAGAGGTTAGTCTTGGGCACTTACAAGTGGTGAGTCCGAAGCCAACTTCCCTTCCTCATCTCAAGCCTCAAGCTTTTGCTTCATTTGGCGTCTTGTCGTAGTTTCTGCCCCACCCATTGATACTATTACTATTGTGTTTGTGTTCTTTTATTCTATATAATATTCGTCTATTTTAATTTGCCTACAACTTATCTAAGTGACGGCTGAAAACGGCTCTCCTGCTCAGATGGCCATAACCCTGCAGATTCCGACTTTCTGAAGACACTGCCCTTCTGCATGGTTCAGTCATGTGGAGGCTCAGTTTGCTCTAAGACATATCCACTTGTGGCGCCTTAAAAACATATCAAATTATATGTTCACGGAAAAATAAGGAATTCAACCTTGAACCTTGAACCGCGCGCGAGGAAGAAATCGGTTGCTTTCTCTCCTGCTGCTCGCCCAGCACATCTGCCGACCAACTCTGTCTCACACTGTTTGACATATCCCCATCAAGAGCTTTGCTCCTATCTGCTTTACTCTACGCGGAGACTTCCGACGGTTGACAGCTCTAAGGTGTAGTAGAGGATTTGTATAATCAAGAAAAGGACAATTACATTCCTATAATTTCGTACGTCTATCATTTGTGTATTTTGTGACTATTATCGTTTCTCTTCAAATAACCTCAGTCCTTTTTGTGTATATCAACTTAAGTGAACTGAATATTTTATATATACGTATTTGTTAGTACCTGTTCTGTCCTTTTAATTGTGTGTATATACTTACCTAGCTGCTAGGTCCACTACACACTCAAAAGAAACTAAGGCCGACCTAGTTATTGTGAGCCTCCCCGAAAACATCGTGACGGAAGTTTCTGACATTCTTGATGATCCATCTGCAAACCTGTTCGATGGTCTCAAAGTAGCCCTAATTAAGAGAGTGGCCTAACAGATCAACAGAAAGTATGAGAGCTCTTTCTTGTTGTTCATCTTGGCGACCCTAGGTCCACACAGATGCTTAGGCAAATGGTTGGTTTCAAGATCGATGACGCCTTTCTGAAGCAGGTTTGTCTGCAAAGATTGCTTCAATCAGTTCAGGGTATCTGAGCAGCATTTCACAACTCTCCTTAACTACAGTTAGCACAGGAGGCCGACAGGGCTGTAGAGTCCGCTAAGGCCAGAGTGGGCGTTTCGGCTTCGGTTTCTGACGGTCCTGCCCAATTTGAGGATCCTTCTGCTGGTAAGTCACCAAGGTTTGACTCAGTGGCTCATATCACCAAGCTTGACGAGATTTGTAGCTTCAGAAGAGAGGTGAGAGCCAGAATTCAGGCCCGTAGTCGCACAGACTCATCTAGTAATAGGTCTTCCTCAAGTACTGGCAATAGGCACCCGAAGTCACGAAACTCCCCGACTGGACTGTGCTGGTACCACCGACGTTATGGTGCTAATGCCCAAAGGTGCACTTGCGATTGCACCTTTGATGCCGAGTAGTCGGGAAATGCATGAGCCAGCACGTAATGGTGACTAACGTCGCTGGCCAACTACATCTTTGCCGCCTCTCCTAAATCGCAGTCGTCATTCTGGGATACGTTTGTTGGTTGATACCAGGGTAGAAGCTAGTGTGATCCCACCTACACCAGACGAGCGTCTGCGGCCAACATCCCTACAACTCCGTGCCGCCAACGGTTCGCCTACCGCAGCATACGGTCGGAGATTACCCCACCTCAACGTCGGACTTCGCCGTTCTTTCCGTTGGATCTTCATTGTGGCTGACGTGCCCACCGACATTATTGGTATGGATCTCTTATAGTACTACCAGTTGCTCGTCGATGCTGGTAAGCATACGTTGATAGATTCTAACACAAGACTTTTGTCCCCCGTATTGTCATGCACAGCCACTTCATAAGCTCAGTGTACTCAACACCTGTCACTGCTGGCCCATACTATGACGTCCTTCAGTCTTTTTCTGATGTATTCAAACTGGCTCCTGAAATTCCACGCGTGACTTCTAACGTCACTCATCGCATCATAACGGCCGGCCCACCTGTTTCTACAAAACCACGGCGGTTATCACCAGAAAAACTGCAAGCCGTTAAATCTGAGTTTGAACATATGTTAGAGATGGGGTTAATCAGACAAGTGATATATCTGGAATGAAATAATCAGACGTAGACGAAACACGGGACATGTGAAATTCTCCATACTATGTTTCAACTGAATGGTTCTCGACTTTTGCACGAACTAATAGAGAAATATAGTGTGAAAGATGCATTCAGACTTATAGACACATTTCGAAATAATAATAATACCAAAGGTATCACGATTCAACAGTGCTTCTCGAATTGCAACGGTTAGCAACGTAAGTTAGGAAATAAGTAATGAAACAATAAATATTGAGATTTCGATAGAGATCCTTAAAGAACTGATGCTGTGGTTGACCATGAACGTAAATTTTTATTTGATGATGAACTCTACAAACAGTCGGATAGGCTGGCGATAGGCTCCTCAGTGGGTCCTATGTCAGCAGGATTCTATCCAACCAAATTACAGAACGTTCTTCTAAACAACTTTATGGGAGGATTCACATTTCATTACTGATGTATAAACGATAATTCAAGCAAGGAAAGGGGAGTCTACGCAAAGTGCGCTGTATACAAACACACGTTCTTATTCGCCAACTCCTATCGCACTTGTTCCGCTTGGACTAAAGACAAATAAAAACACTGCAAATGAGAGATATTTTTGGGACTAGTATTGTATTGCTAAGAGGACTACTTAGCTAACTAGGGACTGTGCACCACTGACTGAACGCTATACGACAGCGTTTCAAAA